ACACCTAGCTACACATGGAGTGACACCTCAGCTTTGGATTTTAAGTAGATAGAGAGAAATTTAATATTTTGTAGAAAATTTACTCGCCAAAAAATAATATTCCATATTAAGTGGTAACCCTGTATACTGAAGTCCCTTGTTACGCGGTCAGGTAATCAGCACCCACTCAGTTTAACCAATATACAAGTTTAAAATAAGTTTTGAATAAGAAATATGGTGGAAATTAGTTTTTGAAATGATAAGCATTTTATAAAAATTAAAAAATATTCTTGTATTGCATGTTTTCGTATTGGACGCATTTAACCAATTGTTCGTGTACCTGTGGTCGCGGTTATGGAGGTTTAATGATTTGCTTATACTGAATAAAATTCTGTAACAATATGAATGAGTAACGTAGAGTACTTGTTCTTTTCTTTTTTCTTTTTGTTATCGTTGTACTTGTAATTCATCTGTGCCACATAATGTATATCTGCCGACCGATGGCCAATGTCACCAGCGGAAAATCACCAAAATTGTTCTTGGTGAATATATATGTGTTTCTGACAGGTCAGATCCCAATCTAGTCCACTTCCTAAATGGCCCAGACCACATCCCAAGTAGGACGTGGCCCAGACCTTTGCAATCTTAACATAATGAACATGTAAATAAACCAATTTATTTACAGATGAGCTGTCAGTTTATTTGTATGACATGTGTAGTTAAAAAGGGAATGACATAGATCAAGGCACATGTTATTACAGTTTCAAGACAGGTTATCACGAAAGTCATGTACAACAGTGTCAAAGTTCAGTTTGATTACGCATTACGAGATCACTGAATTGCTCTCTGCACTTCAACAGGTGATGGTCACTATTTAGGACAAAACTAAAACTGTGTCACGTAAACAAGTTCAGGGCCAGATAACTGTATTAGATGGTCTTCAAGAGTGCATTTCACAAGTGACCATATCCATGTTGTTGTTTAATCTATTAAATCATCTTCAAGAGTACATTTTACAAGAAAGGGGCATGCTGCAATCAATACATGAAAATATGCCAGTGAGAAATTGTATTACCAAAAACACTCCAAAAACACAGGGAGACCCACCCGAGTGCATCACAATAGTTCTTTATTTAATCACCACAACACCCTATTGCACCAAGTAAGTCCAAGATAACTTGGGACAAACTCCATTTTGGTTTACGCATTAAGACCACTGCATTGTTCTTTGAACTGCAGCAGGTGATGATCACGTTAAAGACATTTTACAAGCGAGAACACCCATGTACATGAAGCTGTTCAATTTACATTAATTACTGAACCAAAGTAAAATAAGTTATAGCAAGCTATTACAGCCAGCGTGGATGTAGTGGTATAACAGCAGTTTATTTCATATATATATATATATATATATATATATATATATATATATATATATATATATATATATATATATATATATTCTTTAATACTTATATGCATAACCCAGTGATTTTTTGTGGGCGTTTCTTACATTGTGATGCTACATGCATTTATTATATGTAAACTAGCTTATATAGCGAACATATGTACCAGAAAAACTTTGTGTGGGGTGGAGGGGGAGTGGGGGGAATTTTATTGGGAAGGCGTTACACGGATTCAGCTACTTGATCAAATTCATCTGTGAAGACTTGCTTAGCGGAAAATGTTTGCCACATAAAATAGTTGATCACGTTGCGATCCCCCCCCACCCATCCACAAAAAAAGAAAGATGATAGAAGAAAATGTGTTATACAGCATATCATGTTATCTTAACCCGAAATAAATGATGTGTGATATAGAATCAACCCGAGCCCCCAACTCAAGTGTCCATAACACTGGGTTGTCCCCCCTTATTGGGACAAAATCCATAAAAAATCTTGAAGCACAGCTAAACACGGTGAATATGAAGAGTTGTGTAAGCCACAGATAGTACATACACGCTATCGAAAGCTAACAAAATACTCACGGATTATAGAATTCGAGGGTTCGATCCCGTCCCGAGTCTTACTAGTCTTTCATAAACGGCACCTGCTATCTCCCCGCTTGGCACACAGCATCTAGGGGTTGAAGCAGGGGTAAAGTTCGTGGTCTGGCAAAGGGAATACTGTTCATTTGTTTACATTTACCATCTCATACGGCCGCTAGGCTGTATCCTCCCCAGGGAGGCGAGATTGCACCACTATGTAATGATCGGTTCTCTTACTGTTCTTATATGTATACTACGCATCGTAGTATCTATATATATTTCACACAACTGAACGATCTAACTACCTTGAGTTGCAAATAAACGCTATATAATAATAATAAGAAGAAGAAGAAGCAGAAGAACATTTATATGCACAATATACATGTATAATACACAGAAAACGGAAAGTATAGTTTATCATTTTAGGGTTTAAATAAGATTTTAAACGGAATAAGACAAAACAGGCAAAAGTGAAAAGAAGAGTTACTTGTTAAATCACTATGTTTTTAAATTGTACTTCACAATATAAAGCTATGGGATATGTTTTTACACGTATAAACTTCCTAAATTACAGCATAAACAAAAGGAAAAAAAACTGGTAAGTCTTAAATGAGGGAGGCAAGGCATTTATTGCATTTTTTTTATATTCAGCACTTTCCTTGTCTCTTAATACACTATTGTCATTTTGACAGACGGGAAACACTGAGAGACAAACACCAGCTTTGGTATGAGTGAGATATATACGACATTTAACACTTACTGTATCAGATTTCAATCAGTGTGAACAAAGACTAATGTGAGTATGAGTCTGATCTTTATTTTGTGTTATTCCTCTTTATTTGAACTTGAAGAGATCACAAAGAAAAAAAAAATCCGAGAGTTTGAAATGAGCTGGTGTTTTTTTCGTTTCCTAGTCATTGTTTATTATTAAGGTTTCTCTATTCTACCGTCTCTTATAGTGGCGAAAACCTCAGCGATATATATCGTTTATTTACTGAAATAGCCAATGAGTGTTGTTGACTTACCCTAAATACAGAACGGATGGGGGGAGGGTATTAAACGAATATGAGAGAGCTGATATGAAATAACTAGGGCAGTTCTTTGTTGCCTTTGTGTGTGCAAACAGCATTTTCGATACTCGTGACACGTAGGTCGACAAGGTTACACTGTAGATAAATCGACTGCACATAAAATCTCATTGTCTACAATCAACGTATGAAGTGCAAAAAGTCCCTGCAGAAGACAGACAATGAAAAAGAAACTGCCAGCAGGAATTTTGGAATTTTAGCATTTCACAAAACCCAAGAACAGTATTACAGTTGAATACAGTTTATAGGAAACTATAAACATCGACACAACTATGGAAGACCGGCAAGATGACAGGACTGGTACGGGGCAGGCGAGAGAAGCGTCCGGGGTCAGATCTGGCGAGATCGTCACGTGGACTTATAGTGCGTTCGCCCACGGCCGGTTTTTGTTTCAGCTGTATACTTACGTCGCAGCAATACCGGGATGTTGTTGGGGGGATACCGGCTTGTGGAGCTGTTATTTACTTCGTCTATTGGCGACGTCGAGATACATGTACGTATTGTATCAGACTATATACTAGCAACGTGCATTGTGTCAATTCTGTTGGTCATTAAGCCTTTATTGCATGTATCATCCTGATACCAAAATAAGTTTTTTCCTGCATCCTTGGACATAATTTATTATGCCCATGCTGCATCTAATTATTCAATAATGCCTCTATCTTTGTGCTGATTTAAAACAAAAAATCCCTTGATTATGTAAAATATCATTTATATTTCTTGTTGCATTGTTTAAACAAAGGCAACTCAAAGCTTTTATTGTGTATTTAAAACCTTTCTGTTTTGAGGTGTGTTAGCAATAGATATGAGCCGTAACTACTGATACATCCTTAAACAAGATGTTATCATGAAAATTGAGATAGTTGACCACAAGTCAATGGGCTACATTCCAGTACCGTCATTTTATTTTGAATGCTTTTCTATGGAGTTATCAGCCCCTCATTACATATTTTTCTTTAAAAAAGCATTCATTTGCGTAATCAACAATAAAATCTGAACTTAGAATTTTGAGAAAAATCGCCGAAAAAGTAGTACTAAATTGGCGTTAAGAAGGTAAAGGAGTAATTTGATAAAGCCGTTTTTCAATTTTTACCCCAAAACAATTATGTCGTCACACGTAAGATGGCACGTGTGTAAAAGTTAATTAATTAAGTCACCGAAGATTTATTTGTTATCCAAATGAATGTATAAATGTAAGGCAGTAAATTAGGAGTTGGCAAAGGCTAACAGTGTCCTTGAATAATTATCATCTATACAATTGTGTAGTTTGAATACATGCATCTAAGAACAGTTTAAGTTTGTATTTTCATCGAAAAGAATGATTATAATATCGAATAATGATATCATAAATCCAACATTTCAGATATATGGCTAAAACAACAGCTTCAACGTTGGGGGATAATTCCTGTTAATACCGATGTAAGTTTTCAATGAAGTATGGACTTGTGTAAGGGCGTTATAACTTACATGTATTAATCAAAAATGAAATCAAAATTTAAATTAAAAAATCTAAAGGTCAAATGCAGTATTTAGAGGAGGGTTTTTGGCACTACTGCGTCTTACATGAATATCATCGTTGCAGTCTCATTGACCTTGTAATGTCAGAGTTTGTAATGTTGTGGTCTAGGTATAATATGGGAAGCCCATTTGGCTGTTATTATATTTATTACACATTATTTGCAGGTCCTCCTACAGGATTTGTCGAGAGTATGGCATGACTTCACTACTCCAGTCAACAGGAGACCATGTGTAATGATTAGACTATCCACCATTACTGTTGGTTATAAAATTACAATAAATAAACACAAGACTTGCCATTGTAATGCGATGCCTGTAGTCTCTTATTCGCTTTTTTCGCATATTCATCGTTTTACATGTACCTCGTTTTAGCACTAGCATCTATCGATTAAGACATGCATTTCATGTATTGCAGAAATTTCTTTTGAAATGGGTCAATTGCTTTTACAGGAGGAAGATCTGTTGTCTATTCCTCCTCCCGAAGAAAACATACAGAGAACATTCGTCGGTGTCTTGAGTTCTGAGACAGCTGACAAACTCAAGGCTATGTTCAGAAGAGACTTCTGTCCAGAGATCGTCCTTCTTAAGGAGGGTCACAAGTTACCACCAGAGTGTCGGCTTGTGATATGTTGTCTACCACAGAACATCAGACAAATGTATTTAGATGATGGCACGGTCTTTGCAACACTAATAACAGACGCGGGATTAAGTCAAGGTGGGCATAAAATGCAGTTATGTTAAATATTTCGCTGCGTCTGTGGTTTTAATATACATATTTCAAGATATGTTTAAAATCTTGCTCAAGGGCCCCAAATCTTTCCTGTTTTTGTAGGCAAACGGTGCCCTTTAACACAATTCTTATTTCAAGAGGGGGATATTGATGTGATATAATTTTCAGAAACCGAAGGGAGGGGCAGGACGCGCCTGACCGCCTCTAAATCCGCCACTGCTTATGGCAAATATTCCACTTCGCTGGTGGTTATAAAACCAAGTTGTACAAATATATTGGTCTTAAATTTGATAAAAAATGCATATTCATTAAAAAATTATAAACGCATGATATACATGTATGACATATTTGTGTTCTCCAGCAATGGTGTTGATAATCATATTTGGAGAATGGGAGACACCCTTGGAAACCCAGTACGATGAAAATATCTACGGCAGCGTCCTCCTACAGGGCCAGAACCTTTACACGAAAGGACACAGTCAGAGAGAGCAAACTCGTAGTGGAGTGTCTGAAAGCGTCGACTTGGTCACAGTGGGCGACCGCCCGAACACGTACCAACTGAGTGTTATGAAAAACTTCATTGAACGTGCCTTCAGTGAGACAATTCTATAGAGCACTTAATGTAATTTTGAAACTGTTCAACATTATATTGAATGACACTGTTTGCCAATTCAAGAAAAGATGGACTGTGAAATTATTTTTCATCAATAGACAGGTACAACAACGTTTTTCCCTTTTCTTCATGGAAAATTCACTGTCCAAATTGTCAGATTAAAAAATTGGTACAGAGACAGTTATATCTAAAACAATTTAAGACTGAAAACTTTTAATCTTTTTTATATGCAGTACTATTCTTGTCTTCTGGAACAGTAGTGATTTTTATTAAAAAATGCTAACCATTGAGAGACAAACTTCATTTATGTCAATTATGTGACTGCAGGGGCGGAATCAGGATTATTTGAAGGGTGTGGGTGGTCCGCGGATGAGAAGTCTACCCTCCCCCCCCCTTTGACGTGGGGTTCGAGGCCCGAAAAATTTTGGTGTTTTAGAGGGCAAAACATGCCATTTTTACGGTTTAGAACTATGATTCAGCTAGGACCCCCCTGACCCCCCATCCAAATCCGCCACTGATATAACACCAGTTCAATTATAAAATGATAAGATATTCTCAAAAAAGCGACTTAAATAACCAGTTAATTAAAAAAAAATTAAAGCGACACATAATTTTAAACCAATAAGAAGCCACAAAACGCCCTGCGTACCTTCTCCATTAGGTATGTAAGGATTTTATTTTTAGTTATTGGAGACACGCCAGCGAGATACATGTACGCATGGTGCTGGCAGCGATATGAAATCTCTGAAATCAGGTTTATCTACTGATGTGATACGACAACAAGATAATAATCAGCCCCATGACATTCAAACAATACAATTATCAAAACATCAGGAGAATTATAGAGAACTTGTTTTAATTTTTCAACATGACATCACAGTCTAAGATGAGAGTCCCGCTGGGTATTTTCGTTAACCGTGAAAGCCACATTTTATTTCTTGAGATACCTGAAATGTTCATTTCATTTAGCGTGATCCGAGAAGCACCCTATTCCCGTGACACGTGAATGCGCCTTTTCATTCTTCGCCCTTCGTAAAACAAAGTCATTATATCCAGTTATTCGTGACTTTCAGGATTTTCGACTCAATTATCAGCGAGATATGGATGCAGTTTTATTTACTGGGATCTGTTAATTGATGATTTTATTTCTCGTGAACTGTGATCACTATCCCCCCAGTGGGACCCTCTGACATAAACTAAGTAAGCCATCCTTTTACCTATCATGACACTGCAGATACGCTTATCGTAAAAACCTAAGTATAGTCACATATCAAGCTGTCTATGAGTAATTCTGATTTGGTGACATTTGGTTGACATCTGAAATGATAATCCATTGAATAACACTGTAATCGGCTTTAGATAGAAAACGATTGAAATAACTGTTATGAGATTTTTGTCAGTTAGTATCGATATATAAATATGCCAATCCAAAGACCATACTGCTTCGGCAACACACTATTTACAGGGGCGAATCCAGGATTATTTGAAAGGGGGGAGGGGGGGGGGTCAGCGGATGCAGAGCCTGGGGTTTGGGACCCGGTGAAGGAACCCGAATAATTTTGGTATTTTATAGTACCGTTAAGAACTATGATTCAGCTTGCCAAAATTCTAATTTCAAGAGGGGACCATTGGTATGATTTTTTTTTTCAGATATCGAAGGTGGTGTCAGGAACCCCCTGAACCCCCCTAAATCCTCTATTGGCCTTTGTGTGTGTGTGTGGGGGGGGGGTATGTATGTGTGTGTGTGTATTTAAGTGTGTGTGTGTGTGTGTGTGTGTGTGTGTGCGTGAAAGAGAGAGAGAGAGAGAGTTTATCAAGTAAATGGAATAAAAAAGCGCCTCCAAGATACAATATGTATCATTTACGGTACAATAAACATTGACATAATTATTCCTTCTTTATCTGTGATAATCTTCAAAATCTTGAAATGTATTCTCGCTTGAATAAATAATAGCAATGAGATGGGAATTTTATTGTTAAAGGGAAAATATTTCTATAATAAGTGACTATAGATTAACGGGTTTCAAACCAAGAGATTTTCCTGTTAGACCCTTTGTTACCATTGTGAGTTAAATCATTAGATAGTGAAATAATATGTGCCTTCTTTTGTTTCCCTGGCCTCGTTCCATTACTCTATATACTACTATTCAAGCCAAACAGGGAATATTTCATCAAAAGGTTTACATAGTGCTGATGTCCAAACAAGTGTGCTTTATTATTATTATTATTATCATTATCATTATTATTATTATTATTATTTTGAGTGAACGAAATTCCTAATACGATATACCATCTGCGCATAATCGACTGCCTTTCAGAAACTAAGTAGGACTCGAAAAAATTCCCAGGAAATGATTCAATGAGATATAATAGAAGAGAAACTGGCACTGCAACTATTAACTCTTTACCACATATTCCACTAAGGTAGTAGCCTAATTTCATAACACCAAGAGTAGTTCTGCACTTGAGCTGAGTACAGTCTCCCCTCAATCTAAACATCGGCACAACTATGGGAGACCAGGTGGATAATGTTGAAGAAGATAAGCTGACTGAGGAAGAGATGATTGAGGAAGATTTTGTGAAGGTTATGTTTGTATTTTCTTTGTGTTCGGAAAGTAGGTTTCAGAAGCGTATTACCTTCCTCACGAAATTATATGCTGCCATACAACTGCTATGTACAGATACGGTGTACATTATATATTGGAGACATTCTTTTTTATTATTTTACTTTATTATTTTTTAAACTAAGATTTGAATTATTGGAAGGGGAGGAAAGAAGGATGTACTATCTAACAGCGACATTTCTAGCTGTTACTTAATGAGACCAAATTCTTCGTCCAATTTTGTAATAGCTCGAAGGACCCCTGGTAGAGAACAAGACGTGGTCCATCAAAGGCCATGGGTGGGGCACGTGTCCGATGACTTCCCTCACCCAACTCCTCCCCACGGGTACTTATACGATGCGGGCTATTATCTGTGGGCGTTGTTGATGTTGTGCTCTTATAATATCAACTTATTTTATAAAATGGTCTAGGTATATATAATGGAAAATATTTACTGGCTATTTTATACAATAGGTTAAAAGCCCTGGCCCGACTGCAAAAGTGGACGAACCTTCCCACATACCGAAGGGTGGGGTTTCATCTTTGGGTATTTGTACGTATTCTAAGAAAATATTGTTGCAGCGTGCTTTTTTATCACTTAAATAATGCTTTTTTTTTAACGAATATCACCTATAAAATTGTGTAATAACGTTTATTGATTATCAGAAGGACAGCTTGTTGTTTGTATTTCCATAGGAAAATATAAGGTTATTACATAATAACATCAGATTACCGTATTTCAGTCGAAAGGGTAGGCCTACATGTAGGCCTACAAAGCATCTACCAAAAGTTGAAGCCAGGCACTTTTAATGTAAATTATGAAGGAAGCATGAACTTATACTAGTTTGCATTTGATTACTTACCGAAAAATTACAATACAGTGTAGCTAGGTTGCAGTATTTATAAATATTTTTCGCAATACTATACTTCTACACTACTATACACTACTTGTTGGAATTTAGCACAAGCTAATAAGGTGTAAGACATGTGTCTTCCAAATGTATATTTAAGAATGAGTTAAAATACTTTTAATTTACAGGAGGAAGATTTGATGGCTATTCCTCGTCCTGACGAAAACATACAGAGAACATTCGTCGGTGTTTTGAGTTCTGAGACAGCAAACTAACTCCAGGCTATGTTCAGAAAGAACTTCTGCCCAGAGATCGTCCCTCTCACCAGGGACCCCGTGTTACCACCAGAGTGCCAGCTCGTGATCTGTTGTCTAGCAAAGAACACCGGGCGAATGTACTTGAGTAGTAGCAAGGTATTCACCAAACTTATAGAAGACGCTGGAGCCTTACAAGGTGGGTGTTTATGTTTATGTCTCTGCACTCGCGGTTACATGTAGAAGACTGAGCAATAGGAATACTAATGATGGAATAATTTCTAAACCTTTATAAGAATAGCAAATCGCTTGTGTTGTGTTCAGTATTTTATTTTGAACTAAGTATTGCATGTTGCTTGTCTTACAGCAATGGTGTTGATAATCATATTCGGAGAAAAGAAGACACCTAATAGGGAAAAGCTGAACGATGAAAAAATCTACGACATCGTCTTACGACAGGGCCAGGAGCTATACATGAAAGGACGAAGTCAGACGTCGCCGTTGGACCACCCTTGCTAAGACAACCCCGGTACAACAGAGAACGGAGACGGTTTGTCTGAAAACATCGCCTTGGTCACAGTGGACAGCCGTCCATCTAAGTTCCAACTGGAGTTTATGAAAAAGTTTGTTGAACGTGCCTTTACTGACACTAGGGTGTCAGATGAATCTGTAGATCACCAACTCTAATTTTCAAACTTTTCTACGAAATCGGTCAAAAAAATAGAAGAAGGACTGAAATCAGTCATCTAAAATCTACTGAAAAATTTAAAAACATAAACAAAAACATAAACTGGTAATCCCACCTGCCGCTGCTTCTGTCTATTGCCACAGGTATATGAGAAGAATTCAGGATTAAAAAGCTCAATATTAACCTGTGCTGTATACAAAAATCAAGAATAAATTGCAACAAAAAGCAATTATCAGGTTATAATAGGTTATAATGCACTAGTTAAAAATCTTGTTAAATATGCCACCCGTACTAATGTCAGACGAATTCCAAATAATCGTTCATTATTACTGTTTTGTCCATCTTGTTTTGAAATATATCTCCCTCAAATCACTAAACAACGGACAGAGTAGTAGAAAGTGTATCTCATTTTCTATAGTATAAACTTTATGAGTTAAACAATATGGACAAAATCTACTGTCTTTTCCTATATTTATGTGACTTCTTTTCTCAATCATGAGACTGTTGGTTCAGCAGCGGATATCTGATAACGTACGTTTCTGTATATAAAACAATGGCAATGACAAATAACTTTCTGGATTTAAAACAGTTTTGTAAAGTTTCGTATGATTATCACTTTGATGATGTGTATATATCAGCAAATATTTTTGTAATGCACAGTCTGTCACTCGTGTCGTAAATTGGTTAATTTACTCAGTAGCATCTTCTAACTCGTCCGCGATCCAGGCAAAGCCGAAACAGGACTGGAAAAGGTGTTTTATATGGGTCGCCCACGTCGTCCTTCCTGCTGAGTCCAACTGACGCAGTAAAATATAGCACTTTCTTGGGTATCTCCCCAATCTTGTCCAATACTTGACACACCTGGATATAAAGGTTACATATAACGTTATTCTCCCACATTCACTGAGCGCCATAAGACTTGTAAGTTTTGGTTCAAACACGCTACACGTTTGAAGAGCCGTGAATTTTGGAGTACTGGTGGAAACTCATATTTCACCTCTTTGACTCTCTCGGTGTTCTATGCATGTTGTAATTTATACACACAGATGCTTTCAATTACGATAGTTGTTATCTTCTTTTTAATAGACGAAAGAACTTTTGTATTTCAGAGTTTAACCTTTTTGGTATTCTATCTAAAGGAGACCATCTGACTCGAAAGACCAAAGACAGATATGACAAGTTTGCCAAAGTGTTGCACGCAGTCGTGACCCCTTACAAGGTTCTGGTTATAGCTAATTACTGTATAACTTACAACATGGAAAGGCAGAAAAGACATAGACGGTCCTATTCTTGCATTCTTATTACTGTAGTGCCATTTATAGTGATTCACTTTCGACATGGAAAGACAGAAAAAACATAGACGGTCGTATTCTTGCATTCCCTGCCGAAATCAGCAGATCAGAATATGACTAAGACAAGATCAACTGAATCATTTGCCAACAAATAATCTAACGTACACACAAAAGAAACACAGTCTTGAATTAAACACGCGTTATTTTCATTTTAAATGGAGATATTCAATATCAAAATCGTTACACTACTACAATTTCTTATGCTTATACAAGTTCTGGTAATAGAATTCGAAATACGAAATAGGCTGGAAATTATAATGATAATTATTTTTTAATGCTAAGCATTTAAAAATATCTATAAAGGTTCTTTTGTATTGACATTGTTTTTCGTTTGGACGAGGTTGAGTGATCAGGAAAGGCACAATATAATCAATATACAAGTTTCCACAATAAAAATTAGTTTTTGAGATGATAAGCATGTAAAAATAAATTAAAATTCATTGTTTTCACTCAATCCTAAATCTTTGTGTTCACTCAATCGCATAATAAGGAATTTGCAATGCGATTAAATCTATACTGAAGTTCCTTGTTACGCGGTCAAGTAATCAGTACCGGCTCAGTATAACCAATATACAATTTTAAAAAAAGTTCTGAATAAGAAATAGGGTGGAAATTAGTTTTTGAAATGATAAGCATTTTAGAAAAAATAAAAAAAAAAGATTATTGTATTGCATGTTTTCGTCTTGGACGCATTGAACGAATTGTTCGTTCCGTTTCCGTGTACGTGTACCTGCATGTGTAACTTGTTTTATGAGTTAGGCTTGCTTGAAAATAAAGATATTTTTATTAATAGTATACATGTGCCCTGTTTGAAGCTCGAAGTCGAAAAACATCAAGAAACTCAGCTGTAAGCTGGAGAAATTTCCCCTGTTTATAATGCAGATACGTGTACGCATAAACCAGTGAACGTTTGAAGGCGTTTCTTATATTGTAATGGTACATGCATTTATTATATGTGCTGCAAGTAAACTAGCTTATATAGCGAACATACTAGTAGGCCCTTATGTACAAGAAAAATTTGTGGGGGGTGGGGATGGGAGTGGGGTGGGGAACTGTTATTGAGAAGGGGTTACGCGAATTCAGCTTCTTGATCAAATTCACCTGTGAAGATTTTTGCTCAGCGGAAAATGTTGGCCACATAAAAATAGTTGATCACGTTGCGCCCCCCTCCCACCCACAAAAAAGAAAGGAAGAAAGAAGAATATGGTTATACAGCATACCGTGCCATCTTTACCCGAAATTAATGATATGTGATATAGATTCAACCCGTGCCCCCACTTAAGTGTCCATTAACACTGGTGTCAGGAACCACAGTATAAAAAAAAGTGTGATTAGTACTTGTAAAACTTTATTAATACATGATATTAAAGATTATATTGTATATATATTTGAAAGGAAAACACTTTAATTAAAAATTGAATACAATACAATAGATGTATATCAAAATAGATTGATTAAAATATCTAGTAAAGGAATGTTTAATCAAAGGTAAGGTATATTTAACAAAAGGTGCTGCAGGGAAAGCTAGCAACGATTCATTTGTAAAAATTTTATGAAAACCTGTAGGCCTACATTCTCCCAAGAGTAATGTGGTCATTTTAATTACAAAAAAGTGGCTTTTATCCAGATGAAAAAATATTGAGCTCAGTGTTTTCTTTCACTCAGTGTCTAGGGCCTACATGGGTTTTTCACAGTTGATTGATTAAAATTTACATGATTAATGAAGATCACTAGGTATTATTATCCTCTACCAGGGCCGCAGCTATTATTGTTGACATTTTTGGCTAAAGCGTATCAGACCAAAATGACTGTCTATTTATCTAGAGACATATCTGTGAATATCTGTGGAAAATCAAGGTGTCGCCCTGGAAGAGGTGAGGCTGCCTCTGCCTCGCAATTCGCCATTGTTTTGTTTACAATCGGTGGTCCCAGATGACGCTGCCGTCCAAGAGGAGACACAGCCTAGGAGGATGGCGATTGCGGTAGTTGGCCGCAGGTAGCAACTCAAGCAATTCGTTTTCTGAAAATTTCAAATACGAGGCCACAATGTGTTTAATCCAATCTTTTTTTTTTTTTTTTTTTTTTTTTTTTTTTTTTTAGTTATGTTGTTACAAAGCTCAAAACTGGCCAGTCCTCACTAATTTTACGTCCATTTTTAATGTCAAAAGATTCTAGTAATTGCATTCTTCTTGGTTTCAGTTTTATATAGGCCTACTATCATAGAAGTAGCTAGAACACTTTCTCCAATTAAATGATACCAGGTACCAGTAGATCGTTGCGATGAACATTTTCTAGTAAATTTAAATATTTTACATAAGTCGTTTATTTACTGAAATAGCTAATCAGTGTTGTTGACTTACCTCAAATACAGAACAGAGGAGGCTTTTTATTTAACAAATATGAGAGAGCTGATATAAAATAACTGGGGCAATTTCTTATTGACTTTGTGTGTGCAAACAGCATTTTAAATTCTCGTGCACCGTGGGTCAGCAAGGTTACATCGTGGATCAGCCGACCGCACTCATAAAAATATTCAATTTCCTACCGTCGAAAAAACCAGACATACAGTGTATATGGCGTGCAAAATGCCCCTGCAGAAGATAGACAATGTTTAACGAAACGGGAAACGAAACAGGAAGTATCTCACACTAGATCACATTATCAGGTGACAGTTCTACAGTTAGTACAGTCGAGCCCATCTACCTGAAGCTAGGAACATCGACACGACTATGGATGGCAGGACTGGTACGGGACAGGGAAGCGACGGCAGGGGAAGTGTAATTTGGCAACTAGTAGCTGGGGTAAGAGCTGGCGAGAGCGTTCATGATCGTTACGTCAACCAATCGTGCGTTCGCCCATATGGTGGCCCAGTAAGGACAAGCAGGGTCGTCCGTCGCCTTGCTTTCCCGATAATGAACCCAAAAGCAACTAAAACGACTTTAGAATACCACGCTAGTGCTATTAACTATTTGAAAAGAATCTTATAAAATTGTCATTTATACGCTATTTATACGCCATAGACTGTACACTATACAGGGGTATATTAGCATAGCTTATTAGTGACAGCCAAGTCTAAAGCACCGAGTAGGGCCTGTATAGTGGGATATACATACATGTATTTTCCCTCGCAAAAGTGTATGGCGTCATTACAAATCAGTTTTAGTTAAGCATTCACTTAAATCCAAGGTTAACTACATGCACTGTAGCATGGGACTGCAATTAGGTAGATTTTCACCTGTAGCAAGCTTAAAAAACGAACAACAACAGGGTTTAACTTGATCTTAAAAGATCATTCTCCGTGAAAATGGGAGCCAGTGTGCGTGTGTGTGTGTGTGTGTGTGTGTGTGTTTGAAGAATTTTGAGAAACGGTGTGATACAAGGACACGTCATTTTTGTGTGGGCTAAATCCAAGTGCTTTGTGAAGTCTGTAATAATCTTTATAATCTCATGAGAGCAAATACATAATTATATTATTATTTACTTTTTTGTTTTAGCTGTTATTATATGTCGCAGCAGTGCCAGGATGGTGTTGGGTAGTAATCGGAGTACTGTCTTGTGGAACTACTATAATTTGCTGCGTCCTTTGGCGTCAAGGTTCATACATATGTGCGTATATAGTCTTGAAGAATATATACAAGCATACAAGCGGTGTACATTATGGCACAAAATTATCACTGGCTTTTAAGTAATTGTCACCAATACAATTGTGTAGATTAATAACATACTTAGCGGTTCTCAAAAAAAGTTCGTCGTTTGTACCAGAAAGAATAAGATATTATTGAATTATATTATAATAATTGATATATTTCAGATATATGGCTAAAACGCAATATTGGACGTTGGGGGATATTTCCTATTACTGTAAGTTATCAAGGTAGTTTGAAATAGTATAAGGGCGTTGTAACCCAATAATAATCAAAAGACTAAATCAAAATTTTAATCAACAAAAAATCTTTATGTCAGTACAGTACCTGTTTTTTTTTTTTTCACTGCTGCGTTTCACGNTCCTGGAAAACACTGTGTGATGAGAGCATCTACGGCAGCGTCCTCCAACAAGGCCGGGACCTTTACATGAAAGGACGCAATCAGGCGTCGCTGTTGAGAGAGCAAACTCGTAGTGGAGTGTCTGAAAGCGTCGCCTTGGTCACAGTGGACAACCATGCATCTAGGTACCAACTGTGGTTTATGAAAAACTTCGTTGAAAGTGCCTTCACCGATGAGGAGTGAGACAATTCTATAGATCGCCTTATGTAATTTTGAAACTGTTCGACATTACATTGAATGACACTATTTGCCAATTTAAGAAAAGATAGACACAGGCCTACCCAACTACCAGACTCGGCACCTAAGGATCCTGAATTTACCGGTATATCGAACCACACTACCCGTTTTCAAGGTGTGTGTCAGATCGCATTTCCTTAGGTGCCGAGTCTGGTAGTTGGGTGGGCCTTATTTTTCTTCAACAGACAGGCACAACAACGTTCCTTTCCTTTATGTTCATATAAAATCCACTGACCAAATTGCCAGATAAAAAATTGGTACTGAGACAATTAAATCTAAATCGATTTAAGAGTGTAAGACCTTTTTAATGTTTTTTTATGCATTACTACCCATTTTATCTTGGAACAGGATCCAGGGTTATTTGGGTCGCGAATGCTTGTTGAAGGTGCCTTTATTAGGCTGTCAGATGAATCTGTAGATCAACAATACTTTTTTTCAAACTTTTCTACGCGGGACGAAATCGGTCAGAGAACAGACAGATAAACTGAAATCTATCATCTAAAGTCTCCAAAAAAAAAAGAAAAAAATTAAAACATAAACAAAAACTGAAACTGGTTATCTCACTTGCCGGTGCTATAGTTGTATTTTCCACAGGGAGATGAGAAGGATCCAGGAATAGAAAGACCAATATTAACCAGAACTGTATATAATGTTTTTTTGTAATTAAAGGGATAGTAATTATTTGTATGAGATCTATATTTCACAATAAAAACATTGTGAATAACTTATAGAAATATAATATATTCTGTTTTACCACAAAAACGGCAGTTATAGCTTTTTTTATATCTGAGCTAGTCTTTAGACCACGTGACCTCCACTGATGGCTATACTTTGTTTTATCTCATAAGAGATTTTAACAAAAAGAAAAAAAAACAAGCTTTGTAGAAAAAAAACAAGACTAACTTTGAATGTAAAATGAATTCATTAACCATTATTAAGTATGGTAAAAGTGTTGTTTACGCCAGGAAATTCATTTTTTTTGGCCGAAACGAAGAGTTATTATCCTCTTAACCTGCCGTAGAGGCCGAAAATGTAGGCGGTAATTCTAGCCTTACTTGTAGAGATTTTTAAAATGAAATTTCATTATTCGTTTTCATTCATTAAATACCTGCTTTCTACCATTATTAAGTTATTCTTAATAAAAACAAAAAACAAATTTTATTGTTAGATATTTTATTGTTAGATATTTAATGTTAGATATTTTATGTTAGATATTTTATTGTTAGATATTTGAAAAATAATGACGTTGCATACGTAGCTACGTTCGTGGGGCTTACGTTGAAACCGGTTTTGTTATTTTAACTCATTCCCAGTTGGCTCTACAAGGCCAAAAGTGTCCAAAAGGGCCAACTAGCCCCGGCCTCCCCTATCTATAAAGGGAGAGGGGTCGAAGTAAACACCCAGGTTTTTCACTTGTGGATGATGGTTCAATTAATTCTGATATCTGAAGTTGGAGATCCGATGTAACATGAAAATNCACGTTAGTGCAAGTATAGCGATGTCACTGTTGATAGTCCAGTGTGATATTGTGTTGATTATTGTGTTTATTATTATTCCCCATGTATATTGTGTCTATTTCCCTTGTTTTCATTTGAGTGGAATGGTCCATGCTGGTCAGAAAACAACATGTAAAGTTCAATAATCCAATAATAAAATACATAATGTTCTGGAGTTTGAAAACTATCGTACATGGAATAAAATACAACATTTTTATATTGAAAATGTTTAAAATGCACTTGGAATAAAGGAGAGCAGGGAATCCTTAAGTCTTTTAGGTTTTGCACATCATGTCAATCATGTGGATTTGGAATAAACAATATTTGCATAACTTCAACTTGATGGTTTAATGGTATATCCAATGGTTCCAAAATCAAACCCTAATTTTTAACTTTTTTTCACTTTCAAAATGATAAGTAATTAATTAAAGCTAAATATGTACTCGGTCGCTCAACCTGCGATCAGTTAATCCGACCCTATCTTTTCAGGGACGGAGAGAGCGGTGAAATCATTCGTAGGCATGTTTGGCAGTAACTGGGCCAACACTATACAGCCAGTAGAACCAGAACTTGTTGCCCTGGAGATCACCAAAGCAACTGTTACTAGGCAATATGAATTATACACTAGCACAGATGTACCATCCAAAATATTCATATCTTTAAGGCTACTGTTTCCAAATTTTGCTGATGAAATGATGCTAAGAAGCTTTTCAGTCTTGTAAATATCACCCTAGCTTGTACCTTCAACAAAACTTTATAGGGAACCGTTTTTCAATTGCAAATGGAAAGTAATCTGTTTTTAGGATCAAACCAGTAGTAGTCAATTTGAATCACCTTATTTTAACAATCAAGACAGACGACAGCTTATATTTCAAGAAAATATATTTATATTTCGATAATTGAAAAAGTCAACAGTTGTGTCTCAAATCTCAGCAGTACAGCGAAGACAGAAGTGTTGCCAAATCTGGTATGATGCAAGCTAATTCACTACACTGAAGTCTTTAGTTAAAACTGCTATTAGTTATAATTAAATACACCTTGCATAACACTAATATATACACATATCAGGCTTGGGTCAAATTCATTTTGTATAAACAATAACAAATGCATATAATTGATGCATAAACAATGTTATGTAGATGATGTTTGATCATCCAATGCTCAAGTTTGTAAGCATATTATATGAGGCCCACAATGCTAAGAAATCTTTTCTGACTGAATAATAACAAAAGTACAAAATAAAACCCCACAACAACCAAGTCATATTCTGGCCCATACTACATACAATATGTAAGAGTACATGTAGATAATACGAAAAAGATGTCTTAATTTTTCCATACCATGGCTCCAACTTTATCCATAAGGCTATCATGACACACGCATATGCTTTGTAGTTTAAACATTTATTGATTACATTTGAAATTTATAATTACACCTTCGTCTCTGAATTTGGCCTTCAGGTGGCCCACACCAGCTTCCTCCATATCTACCGCCTTGTGGCCAGGCAGGGTGACAGGGAACCAGTTCTGGATTCGTTAGTTCCTTTTCCAACAGGTTGTTATGAGACGAGCCCTGGTATTGTGTCACCTCGCACAAAGCATCTCAGTATCTCAACACGATAAACTTGACATCTCAAAATAACAAAACGACAATAATGAAAACGACTTACATAATACAAATTTTCTCTCAGTGATGAAATTGACGATCTCTAAATGATGTCAGCACCTCGGTAAAAATCTTGTCAAAATGATACTTTCATCATTTTTGTACAAATGGCGTTCCATAGATACACCAACAGTTTACTATTGAACTTGGATAGGACATCGTACATTGGCAATCTTTCTGCAGGGGCGGATTGAGATCGTCATCTGGGACTTCCAGAGGATTGTCAGATTTAAAGTTTACATTGACAGGTATCTATTTTTTTCTGTCGGAAGACGGTCAAAATGGAAGGTGGACCAACAAAGATAATTTGAAAGACTGTCAGAAAATATCTCTGGGTCTGACACTGTTCTGTTATCTTGAATTTGACTTCTTACCTATTAAATGTGTAATATTTTATAGAGCTTGTCAATCCTGGAGGACTCTCTTTCTACAAAATAGATTTAGTTTTTTAAAATAAAAACTATAAAATAAAGGTGACAAGAAAACCTATATGTCAGAGATATAAGTAAGAAAATTTAAATTGAAAATGAGTTTATTTTCAATGACCACATAGTGGTATTTTTGCAAAAGCCATCAATAATCTAAAACTGATTGATGAACTGATATACACACTGGGATAATAGATATTAGATTAAAAAATTTGTTCAATATAAGTCTCTGTAAATGAAAAGTGATTACATAATATATTAACACATGCTAGATATTGAACCATCTTTCCATATATATTTATAGTGATTCAACTAAAGCTATGAATAATCTAAAACTATTTAATGAACTAATATACATACATGTTCATGAATGTTCATATTAGATCTAATACATTCAATATTTTATATATTTTAACATCTTTCCATATATATATATTTTAACATCTTTCCATATATATATATATATATATATGCTGTTGACATCTTTGACCCCATTCCCATAAATATTTAGATTGATCTTTCCCCCTGGGGAGTTTCATTAGATTGCAGTCAGCCTGACTGGCTTAAATATCTGTCCCATCTACTAAAAGCTGTAAAGGGGGTAATTAACTTTTGTGCACGTTCAGCTCTTGGAAGCTGACAGTGATTTAGTGTGAACCCACAGGAAGTTAGGTCGATCCAGTGGATTGATCGAAATAGGTAAGAATGCACTCTTTGAGAGAATATATAAATATATAAAAAAGATATATGGCGTTCATATTGTTGACTGAACACATTTACGTAACTACATATTAAATTTTTTACACATATACAGTGTTTTTTTTTTTTTCAAAATACAATTGAACACAACGTTAAATATTCAAACATTTAGAAAGGGGAATGTAAAACTAATTGATGAATGTATAAACATACACAAGCAAGTTAAGATATCTGTCAATCTATACTCTGTGAATGAGAACAAAGTATATTTTATCCTACATAAAATATATTG